TCAAACTCCCGGGCTCAAGCGATTCTCCTGCCTTGCCTCCCAAATAGCTGGGACTACAGGCACGCATCAACATGCCCAGCTAATTTTTCTATTTTTTGTAGAAACAGGGTCTTGCTCTTGCTGAGGATGGTCTCTAACTTTTGGCCTCAAGCAATCCTCCTACCTTGGCCTCCCAGAATGCTAGGATTACAGGTGTGAGCCACCGTGCCTGGTGATATTATTTTTGTTTATGAACAATATGTAAGTGAAATCAAGTAGTATGCGTTTTCTGTGTCTGACTAATTTCACTTGATTTTATAATCGGTTGATTCATCCATGCTTTGCATGCAGATGTAGATTATTCATTCTTTATCTTTTAAAGTGTTTTATTTGTGAATATTCTAAAATTTATTCATCCTATGAACATTCTTATACATATGTCTCTTGGTGAACACATGAATAAATTTCTGTTGAAATGATGGGTTAAGTCACTCCAACAACCACCAAATTTATATAATTAGTCCAGCTCTTTCTTCTGAACTCTAGACTTAGATATCCAAATCTGTTTTACCCCTTCATTTATATGCACCTCAAATTTAACATATTCCAAACCATTTGCTCCTTCCTTATATATTTCCAAATGGCTTCTTAGTCCATCTAGTTCTTTATGGAGTAATCATTAATAGTCTTCTTTTATTGACCTTCTCTGGCAAACCAATCCATTAAGTCCCTTGTATTCCACCTCCGATTTATACATATCTTGAAATTATCCACCTCTTTCTGTCTCTACTGCCATTACCCTAGTTCAAGCCACCATCATTTCTGGCCTTGAGTAATGCAACTGCCTCCAAACTGGCCTCCCAGCAACCAACCCTTCTTGCCCTTTTCCAATCTATTCCCCACAAAAGGCTTGAGTGAGCTCTTAAGTATGTAAATCAGATCATATTTAACAGTCTTTACTAGCTGCTCATTGACTTTAGTATAGCTTCCAAAATACAGTCTGAAATCTATAATGTGGCCAATAAGAGCCAGTATGGTCTGGCCTCTGCCACAGCTCAGCTCAAGTTTCTCCTTGCTCCCTATATTCCAGCCACACTGACTTCCTTTTAGTTCCGAGAACACACAAAGTTCTTTCGTGCCCTAACAACCTCACACATAATTTTCCCTTGGCCTGGAACATTCCTTCAGGCTCTTTAATATGCCTGGAGCTTAAAAGGAAGTGCCTTTTAAGAGGGCTTTTCTCTGACAGTCCAAAATTAACCCATCATGGCACCCACTAATTTTCCTTCATAGTACTGATCACAATGTATAATTATGTAACGATTTATGCTTTAATGTCTCTTGCTCCTATTAGACCTTAAATTCCATCAAGTGTTACGTTCACTCCTGTGACCCAATGCCTAACGCGGTGCTTGGCACATGGGAACTCAGTAAATGCCTTTTTAATAATGCTCGACCTATGCGAAGGCTGGAAGTGGGCCGTAGGTCTAGTATCTGGCACTTCTCTGCCATGGTTAGTTTCCTTCCTGTGAGTGGTGGCAGATAGGGGCAGGTCCTTTCCTTCATCACCCAGAGGGGGCTTGTCTCTCAGCCCTGTGGTAAGTGTTTGCTGTAGGGCCGCGTGTAAGAGACAAACGGCCTCCAGACACAAGGCGGCAGGCTGGGGAGATTAGCCATATTACCGAGGACAGCACAGTTCTATCACCAGAAACTAGAGCAATCTCCCGCCGCAGGTGCGGGAGGAACTGCTAATCTCCTGGAGGGGCGGGACTAAGGCGGGCCCCGGGAGGGGGAGGGTCAGTGTGGCCTCTCCGCAGTACCCGATTGGCTTGAGAGAGCCGAGGGGGCGGGGGCGGGGTTTGATTCCGCGAGCGCGAGCCACGTTGGATACCGGGCAGCCCTGCCGGAAGGCCACGCCCAGGCCCCACAATGCACTGCGTGGCGCGTCACTTGGAGCGGTGGGTCTCGGCTCGACAGGTATTTCCCGGCTCCTCCCAGTCCTCTTTTCTGCGTAGGGGTGTTCGAACCCCTGCCGGCCGCTCCCCTCTGTCTCCGCGCCCCAGCCACGCCCCTCGCCCTCGGGACGACAGACGTACCCCCGGGGAGGAACCAAGCCCGTGCCGTGGGGTTGGGAGCTGGGTGTCGTTGGGGCCGCGGAGCTCTGGAGGAGCGGGCATGCAGGGACCCGGCCCACTTCCATTTGAGGGGCCCGTGGGGCCGCGCGGGCGGCGGTTGCCCCTTGGCTGGCCTGCCTCGGGTATGGGGCAGCTGGAGCTTGAGTGCCTGAGGGGGAGGGCCAGTCTCCCTGACCTACCAGCCGGTGGTGGTGGGATCCCTGGCGCCCAGGTGTCAGAAACACGGTGATCCACCTAGGCTGTTCAGGTGGCCCGAGAGAGCGTGAGGTGCCATTTCCTATTTCTTTTAGGCAGGGTGGGACTTGAACCAGTGGCTTACTTTGCGTTTTGTGGAGGTGGAATAAGCGCGGAGCCCAGAGATTTGCCTGCGTTGGCTCACAGAAACCTTTTGAGGCTCTGTTAATGGCACTTTGGGAATAGTGTGGCAGAAAGTAGACCTGAGCAACTGGCTTGACAAGCGGAGGGGGTCTCTGAAAGAGAAGGCCAAGCCCGAACTGGCTTGAGTCTCTCTGCCAGTGAAAACAGCTTTAGATTTTTCTCCTGCTGCTTACTTCCCTGGATCATGCACCTGGATCAAGTGGAGAGCTTGAGAACCAGCCCTTCTTATGCCTGTTCAGCTAAGGCAAAGCGCAGCCCAGACCTAAAGTGTCAGCCTCTATACTGGAGATGTTGCGAACCCAGCTGACAGGTGGAACAGCCACTTTTAAAACTTCTGAATCACTTTCCATGTTACTGGTATTTGCTCACATGCTATAATTGTAAGGAATGAGCAATACCTGTAATCTGGTATATTAAGGTTCAGTATTTGAATCTGACACCTGTGACCATGGCCTAAGTTAATGGGACATTTGGGCATTTTCTGTGCTGAGAACCATTACATCTGTTTAGGGCCTTGTGTGTGTGTGTGTGTGTGTGTGTGTGTGTGTGAGTGACTGATCAAAGTCTAAGTGTATGCTTTGTTGGTGTGAAAGAAGCCCAGGTCCTGTGAAAGGGGTGCCTGTGTCCTTCTTTTCCATGTGTTTGAGTAAGAAGTTTGGACATGTTGAGAGGCAGTGTCTCATAGAGTCGTTAGGGTTACACCTGAGTTTAAATTCCTACTTGGTCACTTACTAGTTTAGGGATTAAACAAATTACTTAAATTTTCTGGGCTTGAATTTCCTCAAAGGTAAAATGAAACTAGTAATACCTACCTGACAGGTTTTTGGAAGGGTTCTCTGAGGTAATGCCTATAAAATGCCTGGTCTATAGAGGGAAATCAGTAAGTAAGAAGGATAGCATAGCAAATTCTTAATATAGCACGTTTAGGATATTACAAGGCAATGTTTCAGGTGCTTTACCTGATCCTATGAGACAGATACTATTGGCATCTTTAAAACAATCCTGTGAGATATATACTTTTAGTAGCCATAATTTACAGGTGTGGAAACTGGGGTATAGAAAGGCAAAACTTGCCCACGATTACATGGCTAAGAACATGGTGGAGCCAGGATTAGAACCCAGACAGCCTGGCTCCAGAGTCTGTCCTCTTAACTACCATACTGTACTGCCTCTTAAAATTTAACCTGTTATTTCATTATTATTTCAAAATGGAATAATAGGAGTATCAAAGACTGCCAATAAGATAGGGGGCACAAAGTGGCAGAATAAATTCTGGCTGCCCTTGGTACCTTTTTCCCTCCCCTTTTCATGCTCTGTCTCCCAAGTGCCTTCCTGCTAAGCTATGGCTATGTAAAGTCCTTTCCCTTTTTCATTCAGTCTGCCCCCACCTTGTACATCACAATTAGTATAGCTTTCTTCCCACAGATCTCAGCACTTTTTTTTTTCTCCCAGAAGCATATTTTTCTTTATTAAAATCACAGTTGTAGAACATTTGAACCTTTATTCATTTCCATTTTCTTTGTTCAAAGTGTCTTTTTTCTGGGTTTCTTGAATTACTGTATATTCATTCTCTTCCTTTTTGGTTAAAGGACGAAGAACACACATTAATGCTTTTCCTCCCTTGGATGGATGGTAGGATGAGAAGGTAGCCATTCCAGGCATAGTCTGGAGTATTCGATTAAATATCTCCTCCATTTTATTTTCTGGCTCATCTGCATTTTTCTCTTTCTTTATAGTAATTTGAACTTTGTATTTTTTCTCAATCCACTGCTGAATCTGTTTACTCTTCGTGTCCAAATCATGTTGCCCAATATTTGAAGAAAAAGTTAGCTCCTTCTTCAGGGTTGGTCCAGTTTTTGGTCTAGCCTTCTCCCTCTCTCTCAGCCTCAGTCGTTCTTCATGAATCTGTATCCCTGTCATGAGCTGGTACTCCGGGGGCTCCGCGCTGGGATTCCTTTGCACCAGCCTCAGGTCTCGCTCATCCAGGAGTCTGATCACATCTGCTCGGTGCATGTTTCCCAAATCATTGTCCTTCTCATCAAGTACGTGAATAATTCGCTCATTAATTTTTCTTCCCGTGTTACTAAAAGTGGTTCCATCCTTTTTTTTCTTTTTTCTCTCGTCCTGGATGTCTTGGACGGTGCTAAAAGCCTTTGTATGAATTAGGAAGGACAGCCCTGGGGCAGAAGCAGTAGGGTACAGTTATGCTGGTGCTCTCTTTTGCACAATGTATTCACCAAAACATCTTCTAATGCAATTATTCTCAGCCTTTATGGTTTGTAGAGTTAACCTATTTAGAAAAAGAGCAGCCATCAGAGGTGTGACTTGTCAAAGATGAAAGAGGAAAAAAGGAGGTGTCTTCAGTAGCTCTTCTCAAAGTTAGGTCCCTGTGCCACCTTTTTAGGAAGAACTATAATCATCCCCACTTGAGGAGGAAAAGCTCTTCTTTAGAAGAGAATGACAGCACCAGCATTACGTGTCCTGGGGTTGGCCATTTCTCTCAGCACTTTTGATAAAATAATATGTAGCAAGGGTATTGTCCCCCAAACTTTGGTACTGTCACGTATGCAAAATAATATCATAAGCAGTTGAATATTTAAAAAAATCTCCAAAAATTTTTGCGCACATATTTGAATAAAACAAAAAAAGTTTCATTTATTTTAATTGAAATGAGGAGAAAAACCTAATACTTCAAAACTGATTTCACAGATATTGCTAAAAATATATAGGGCAAAATGTAAGTCAGTTGAAAGACTGATGTTAGGTAAATAATAGTACAGGTGGGATGAAGATAAGGTAAAAATTCTCAAGTGGTACTTGGATAACTGAAGTGATGAACTAAAATAAAATGTGAGTGCTTTACCCCAGTGTAAATGTTTTTAATCTTAAAGGAGGCATTTATGAGAGCATTTTGATAGAAAGAAGATACAAAATCTACTTATATTTTGGATTTTCTTTATTGCCTTTCTGATACCTTGGCCCACAGTCATTACCTCACATGGTTCTGAAGAAGAGGGGTCAGCGTCTGGTTATCTTGAGTCTAAGAAGTTATTAACCACTGCAGTAATAGTATGGCATTGTGGGAGTTTATTTTCCTAGCCTTTACATAAAAGTTAACCCATATTTACCTAGGTTCTTACTTGGGCTTTTTCCTCCAATATTCCTGTTGAGGAGAGGAAAAATAGGCCACTACTCAGATTCCCAGTGAGGTATCTGCTGCTGTCTAAAGGCAGGTGTAATATTTTCTCTGTGTTAAAGGTGAGGAAAAATGGACCGGTGGCCTAAAAAAATATATATGGCCCTGATAAGATAAAAACTACTGCACCTTAATCTTCCTGTGCAATTGTTGTAACCTCTGCATTCCACAGTTCCACTGGTTCTTCCTTGGGGGTTTTCCCAACCACACCCTGGTTAGACCCCAACAGTGCTCAACTCTACTTGGCCTTGATATACACAGATTTCTTTTTTACTAGCACAGTTTAGACAAGATTAGTTTTTAAAAAAAGAAACTACATTATGAATTCAAGGTAAAAATTTTTAAAAAGGGGGAAGGGTATGTTTATTGAGTTGATGGAGAGACTGCTTGTCCTGAGGTGATTGGAATCCATCTACAAATTAGTTAAGGCTGGCATTGATCATCAGACATTCATTTCAATTTCTTTTGCTTTCTTAAGTTCAACTGGTTTGGATGCTGAATCAAATTACTCTGAGAGGAAGAGATTTCACTTTTTATCCTCAAAATCTTGTCTGTTGATAGATAAGAAACAATCCTCTGACAACCTTTTAAGAGTTTTGACAGAAAATGTAATTGCTGTGTTCTGCTTTTGGTGAAAGACTAAAGTGTGTATTAGGAATATTGGAAATGCAAGTTTGTCTAATTTTAGTTTTCCACTTAGTAAAATGGTGGGCAATACCGTCTGTGTTGTGTTTGCTTTTTTCATTTAAATTTCTCTAATTTTGGGGGTGATGTTTCTTGATGGTAAGAACTCTGTATGCCTAGTGTTTGACATAATCCACGGCATACAGTAGATAGTAAATATTTGTTAAACAAATGGAACTTACAAGTAGTATTCTTTTCTCGGTATGTATTTCAAGAAGTATGAATCATATCTTTCTGTCTTCTAAGTCATTAAAAAGAAAAGAGTAACTTTGAAGACTACATGAAAGTTGGCAACATGATTATAAAGACTATTCCTAATATTGCTATTAGGTTCCTAGAAAGGTCAGGCATAAAAGAATGAAGTCTACTTTCAAATACTAAAATATGAACTTTTGGAACTATCAGTCACAATCTACCGTCACGTTGATTCCCAGAATGGTTATTTCTTTGCAGTTCCATGTCTGGAAAGATAACGATTTATATTATATTTAAATAATAAATACTTAACAGTATCAAGTAAGACATTTTCCTACTTTGTTTTTTTTGAGACAGTGTCTTGCTCTGTTGCCCAGGATAAAGTGCTGTGGTGTCAGCCTAGCTCACAGCAACCTCAAATGCCTCGGCTCAAGTGCTTCGCCTGCCTCAGCCTCCCGAGCAGATGGGACTACAGGCACGCGCCACCATGCCCAGTTAATATTTTCTATTTTTAGTATAGACAGGATCTCACTCTTGCTTAGGCTGGTCTCTAACTCCTGAGCTCAAGCAATCCTCCCGCCTCTGCCTCCCAGAGTGCTAGGATTACAGGTGTAAGCCACCGCACCGGCCATTTTCCTACTTTCTTACACTTAGGCTAAATGTTACAATTTTGGTTTGATAATTAAATAAAACATGGTACAATTTTTAAAGAGGGGGGTACAGTATAGATATCCTCTCTTCAGGGATCTCAGCTTTCTCTTGCTACTGCTTTCAGGAGAGAAATTGGATGAATGGAAAAAAATGCTGATTTGTATATGTCACACTGGAACTTTAGTTTGAAGATTCTATTGTGGTAAAAAGGCTAATTTAACTTGCTTTTTTTTTTCTCTTTAAATAAATGAAGGAGAAAAATATTAAAGGATAATGACAAATTATTAATATTACCTAAAGATTCCTCCCCTTTCCTCATGAAAAGTGGATAGTAAACTTAATGCATTAGATTTGTGAGTTGGATTGATTTTTATTGTCAGATCAGTTACCACCCGGAATGGACAGTAAAATTTTTACTTCACACAGCAAGAAAACTATTAATTCCTGGTTTCCAAACTCTGTACCAGTTGGTTTTCTATGGCATTTTGGGGGGCACATTACTAACTCAATTTTCATTTTTGAAATGAGGTAATATTGACTTAGCTGAAGTGGGCAGGTAAAGATTAATTTAGTCTCTGAGATAAAATATCTCTGAAAAAAGCCTATGAAATTTGTATCAAATGTTTGAATTTTCACCAGTTGCCCCTACTGCTAGTGAAGAAGCATTTAGTGGCTCTGTGCTCTGATGGCCGGACAGAGAAGAGTTATCACTTAATGTCAGATGGTGAACATGTTTTAATTCAATGTTTTTCAAAGTATGGTCCTTAGACAATAAGCAAAATAATCACCTTGGGAATTTGTTAAAATTTAAGATTCCCAAGCCCCCACAGTCAGTGGGTCAAAATTTTGGAGAAATGGGCCCAGAAATCTGCATTTCTAACCAAACTTTAATCTTCTTATATAAGCTAAAGTTTGAGAACCACTGTGTATGGTTTCATAAACCACTTTTATGAAAGTTTGACTATTTACCTGGTTTTTTTCAGACTTAGGCCTGTGAAGTCTTTTTATCTGTCTTTGTAAAACATGACCAGAATCCAGTAAAAGAAGCCATTATGATTTACTTTCTGGTTAAAAAGATTGACAACAACATTAAAACAGTATTCCTTTAGCTTTAGGCTTTATTTTAAATACTTTTTTTCTGATTATAAAAGTAACATATACTTATTATAGATAGTGTGAACACTTAGGAAATTATAAAATGATAATCACCTGTAATACTATTTCCTGGAGATGAGCATTATTTTGATTTTGGCATCTTTCCTGTATTCATTTCTCTGTTTCTCCCTCCCTTTGTCCTTCTCTTTATCTTTGTGGAAAACAACATTTGCAATTTTTATCCTGCTTTCTTCTTAACATATAAGTATTTTACCATATTATTAAACTTTTTTTCCACAAACATAACTTTTAGTTGCTGCATTATATTCCATCATGTGGATGTACTATAATTTACTTAACCATCACCCTGTTGTAGGATTTTTTAAGTTGTTTTCAGTTATTTGAGTGGAAGAATGTCTTTCTATTTAAAATTTTGTCTGGATCTCTGATTATTTTCCTCAGGATAGGGTTATACATTTATTAAGGTCAAAGGCATAAATACTTTTTAAACTCTTATTGAAATTGCCAAATTGTTTTGAGAATTGGTGTTTGTACCAATTTTTACTTTCACCTGTATTTATGAGAATATCAGACAAAAGCAAGTGTTATTTTTTTAAAAGGTAATTTTTTAAGTGAAGCATAGTTACCATTGTTTTAATTAATATTCTTTGATTACTAGTAAGTTGAACATTTTTACGTACGCTTATCAAGTTTGGCTTTAATTTTTATCTAACCCGAATTGTTTATTTTGTTTTAGGTCTTCTCTATCGGTTGAAATGTCTATGATTTTATCTGCCTCAGTCATTCGTGTCAGAGATGGACTGCCACTTTCTGCTTCTACTGATTATGAACAAAGCACAGGAATGCAGGAGTGCAGAAAGTATTTTAAAATGCTCTCAAGGAAACTTGCTCAACTTCCTGATAGATGTACACTGAAAACTGGACGTTATAACATTAAGTAAGATTTCAGTTTGTTTCATTAGAATCACTTGCATAGTGGTGCTTGTTTTAATGATGTTTAAGTGGTTGCAATGGAAATTGTGCTTGACTAGTTTAGGAAAACTTGTTCAAGTACAGAATCATGTTGTTCTGAACTTACAGTAAATAGTAATCATTGTGTCACAAACCTTTTTGCAGTTTTCTATGCATTTATATCTGGCTTTTGAAAATTTTATAGTTTTGCAGATCACATATATTCCTTCTTATAAGTTGATCACCAGGTATTTATTGGCACTCTTACATCCCCAGAATTATAGCAGGCAAACTGGAATGGGAAATAAAAAAAAAAAATTTACCTGATACCTGCCCTCAAAAAGCTGAAGAAGCTTACGTTCCAGTGGGAGGAGATAGCACTTATCACTGTATTATATATAAAGAAAGTTAAACTGGGTATGGGAAATCTTTGGTCATCGGGGGCCTGTCTGATAGGGTGACATTTGAGCAAAGGTGAGAGAGGAGGCACTTATGTGAAGGATGCTGTGGATGAAGAGCAAGGCAGAGGTTAACAACCAATGAGAAGCCCTTTTATACATATCAAGAAACGGAAAGAAAACCAATGATGCTGAAGCATTTTGGACAATTAATAGAGTAACAGTAGGTAAGGTCGGAAAGGTAGAAATGGGACAGGTTATTTAGGGCCTTCTAGGCCATGATGGGTTTGGAGTCTATTTGTCTATTGAGTCTAATGCAATAGGAAGCAACTGGGGAGTTTTAAGCTGGAGAGTTATGTGATCTGATTTTGGCTTTGAGTAGATCATCCTGGCTGCTCTGTGAAGAATGGGCCATAAGGGAGAAAGAGTGGAAGCAGAGAGATCAGACAGGAGATTCTTAGAGTAGTTCAGGTAGAGGTGATGATTGTAACTTTAACTAGGGTGATAGTGAAGAGGTTGGATTTGGGCTATATTTTGGGATTAACACAAGCAAATCCTCCTAATGGTTTGAAGTGGGATATGAAGAAAAATCAAGAATCACTTGTAGTTTTTTGGCCCGAGGAACTGGATGGATAATGGGGCTGAAATGAGCAAGACCGGAGAGGATAAGTGTGTTTCATTGGTAAAAATTAAAAGTTATGTTTGGACATCTTACGTCTGAGATGGCCATTAGACACCCAAGGGGCACTGCCAGGTAGGCAGCTGGATGTATGAGTCTGAAGTTTAGTGATGAGGACAAGTATGGAGATTTATATTTGGGAGTCAGCTTACCATTTGTAATTAAAACCATGGGAATGGATGAGACCACCTTGGAAAGCATACACATGACACAATTAGAGAACAAGTAACTTCTGAGCAGTTTGATACTGATTATACATACAGAAGGAAATCAGATAAGAACAAGGTCTATATAGCATATAATAAACTTCATTATTGAGATGGTATGTGAGCCCTGTCCTGAAGATTTAAAAGATTGGCTGAAGCAGGGAGGAGGGCATTCCAGGTGTAAGGAAGAGAGGCAGAATAAGCAAAGAATGTGACTTAGCGTGGTGGGTGCATTAACCTGCTTAGCCTGGTATAGTGGACAGTGATTTATAGATAGTTATGAGACGTGTGTGATAATCAGCGTGGGGCCAGATCCTGGATTGCTCTAAAGTTCAGATTGAGGGATGTCACTTTGATGTAATAGGTTATAGGAAGGTCTGTTGCAGGTTTGAGGGAAGTGACTTGATAAAAAACAATTCTGAGACAGTGGAACATAAGGTGAAATGGAAAGTCTGAGAGGAGAGAGACAAGGCAGAGAGGTCAACTTACTATTAGGTCCTGAAGTAGGAAAGTAAAAGTGCAAATGAAAAAGAAAATACCACCAGACATGGTGACTCATGCCTGTAAACCATGCACTTTGGGAGGCTGAGGCAGGAGGATCACTTGAGGCCAGGAGTTTGAGACCAGCCTGGGCAAAAAATATTAAAAAATTAGCTGGGCTAATATTAGATTAAAATATTAAAATATTAGATTAAAATATTAAAAATTTAGCTGGTGGTGCATACCTATAGTCCTAGAGGAGGTTGAGGCAGGTGGATCCCTTGAACCCAGGAGTTCAAGGTTATAATGAGCTATAATCGAGCCACTGTACTCCCCCTGGGCGACTCCGCCAGAGTGAGAGCCTGTCTCTGAAAAAATTAAAAATAATAAAGGGAAATGCCAAACAGAAACTTCAAGAGAGGTGATCAAGCCTGATAAGATAGAATACTAGAGATGAAGAGAAGGAAGGGGCAAAAATGACTCAAGCCTTGGAATTGGACAGAATGATGGTGTCATTGTCAGAAATGAAGTCTTTCGAAGGGATTGTTTATGAGAGGTGAGAAAGAAAGAAAAGATGATGAAGCTCCATTTTGATTACTTTAATTGAGGTTTGACAGGGCAGGCCAGTAAAGGTGGGATATTTTGGAATCATTCACATACATGTGACTGAAATTGCGAGGGTAGAAATGCCCATGGAGTTTAGATAGAGGCCTAGAATAGAACCTCAGAGAATGTCCGCAACTTCTTGGATCACCTGGATAATGATAAGATAATGAGATGTTATATTTAATTGGTTTTTTTGAGGGCTTAAGTAGAAAATGTGGTGGTGATGTGGTGGTTCAAATATATGTAAAATGATGTCTTAGCCTGCTTCTATTTTTAGGAGAAAAAAACTTGAAACATTTAAATATTTTCCTTAATAGGCTCTTTTAGTGCTCTGGGTCATTATTCTGAGTTTCAGTTGTTACTGTATAGTGGTGTAGAGAGATGTCAAAGTTACAGGAAATAGGCTTGAATGTATATTCTGGTAGATATCCTGGACTAAAAAAAACCCTAAAACCCAACTTTTTTCAAATGATTTTTGTTCCCTTGACTTATTTTCTTGAAAGTAGAGTAAAATGTAGTAAAATTTTAACCCATCTACTTCTGTTTAATTGTGAATTCTAGGTTTTATGTTTGTTTATACCCCATCTTATTCCACACAAAGGATTTGAACAATTTCCAAAAATAATTCAAAAGGACAAGCGAGGAAATCAGATGAAGGAAAATAGAGATAGGAGCAATAATAAACTGAAGTAAGATTTCCTTCTGGAGATGCAAACTACATAGTTCATTCATGTTTTAGAAAAAGGCTAGAAATATTACTGTTTCCTTGTGGCCAAAGCAAAGAATGGATAATTGGTAGGATTTAGTGCCATTGGATAAAAACATTGTTTTTCCTGCTACTAAGACCACAAAGAGGGACTGCATTTGGATAGCATTCTTCCAGCAGCCATGATAATGAGACTTTTGTGATTGTTCTTATAGTCCTTAGATTAAGCAAATGGCATGATGCAAAAAGCAATTTTATGAGAGAGTTTAGGAGTGGGATAAATCAGCAGAGGTCTAATCTGGCCTGATCCAAGAATACAATCCAGATATGTCTAAAGGAATAAATAGATTATGTAGCTTTTAAACCTATGCATAGAAGAACCTCTATGCATGTTATTTTTGTAGCCAAGCTTTCAAAAAGGATTGAAAAATGGAATTTTTAATTCTAGTTCCTGACAACCTGGATTTCATGTATTTTCTATTATCAATTAAGAGGTCTTGTTAGTTGGTTTTAGTTTATTGAGGTTTTTACAGTATATGGCAATGAGCTTAGACTGAAATATATAAAACTGGGAATTTATGTGTGTTACCAGACTTAAAATTCTCACATCACAACTCTTTTTCTAACCACCATGAGTTTGCCAGATCTGCAGTAGCAACATGATAGCACAGCCTGGAATTGCCACCACAGGGCCTTTCTCCTAGCCATGTTAAATACTGCTCTTTCCTTCAAAGCCCAGCTGATAGCCTACTTCTTTTGAATCCACTTCTTCCTCGTTACTATTTCATTTCTGTAATGATCTCACTCCCTTTGTTCCCTAGTTCTACAGATTGCCTGTAGAACTTTCTTGACTGCCTTTTTCATCATTTCTTAAAATTTTTTATTTTTAATTTAATTTTTATTTCTCTGTCCTCTCTCTATAACTGGGCTGTAACTCACTGAGGAAATTGGTTTGCCCTGGCTTATACTATTTTTAATTCCTCATTTCTTAGCATTGTGTTTCAAATTTGTATAGACATTAAAGTGCCCTTTCTTTGCAGAATACTACCAAAGTAACTACATGTTATAATTATGTGCCAAACCAGGTAGTACCTCACATTAGATTCTAGTTGAATAGGCTGAGGAAGCCAGGGTTTGAGGGGGAAAAAAAAAGTTAGAGGAGTCACATTTAAAATTGAGAAAATCCATTTAATTTTCTCCCCCTGTGTATTGGGAAAATGATGAATTTCATCTGATTGTAGTGGCTGGATACTCAGTTTAGCTGACGGAGCATATTCTGTGGAGCATGGCTTGTGCTAGCACAATGCCTTGCACATGTCATAGTAGCTGCTAAATGAAGGTTGGTTGTTTTGCGAGTATGGCAGTGTTTGGAGTGCCATGGAGTTGTCTTCATTTTCTCCAAAGGTTTCAACTTGTGGATTGGGCAGGGTGGGATGGAGTGTGAGGGTATTTGGTTTTGTGGTTTCCATAGTGAGATATAGATATAATTGATATAGATGCAATTCTATCTATATAAAATTATAAGGGATTCATCTGTTTTATAAGTTGAAGGATACTTTCCCTAAACTATAATAAATGTTTAATGAATAAACTTATGCCACAATTAAAAAAATGACTGATAATGATTAGTCATGAAAATTAAATTGGGTCATCTGAGATCTTAAAACTTGGCAGTTGACTTTGGGGGTTTAAAAATCATAATTATACATTTTGGGATCTCTTTAAACATTGAGACACTGTTCTCATGAAAAATCAAATACCCTTTGGGAGGTCAGTCATACCCTACTGTGAATTTTAGTGCAAGAAATAAAATTCCTTAGTTCTTTCACTGCAAATTCGTTTGAAGTCTGATACTGACTGTGTGCCTCCTCACTTCTCTTCTTGCCTGAGTGTTTACTTTCTCCCCAAACT